CCGTTCAGCCGAGGCCCGTTTAAATGGTCTCCAGGCCGCTAGAGCAAGGGGACGGTGCCTACGCACCGTCTAAACAGGTAATAGAAGAAAAATATTTTTTTAACGGCGGTGTGAAACTCTAGCAGTATGCCAGTAATCCAGCAGTATTGGGGTCTATTTTTATGAATAAAAAATTAATTTGCTCACGTAGTGTAATGTTAACTCGCTAAACTGTCGATATTTAATTCAATGTCGATTGCCGTTATGACATCTTCCGTGTATTTTTCAGGTATGCTTCGACTGCGGTGCCAAGAACCCGACGTGGTCAAGCATTACCTATGGCGTCTTCATTTGCATGGATTGTTCAGCGATACACCGAGGTCTCGGCGTGCATCTGTCGTTTGTGCGTTCGATACAACTGGACACGAATTGGACGTGGTTGCAGCTGAGAGCGGTTCAAGTGGGCGGAAACGCTAAAGCGGTGCGCATATTTTAATACACCTTAACATTAATTGACACTTGAATATGCAAATTGACTTTAACATATGTACCGTATCTTTTGGTGTAATTTTTCGTTTTAGGCAGAATTTTTCCGTCGCCATGGTTGTACATCTACGGACGCCCAGCAGAAGTATAGCAGTCGCGCCGCTCGACTGTATCGGGACAAGTTACACCAAGCGGCGCTAAGCGCGCAACGCAAATTTGGCAGAAAGGTGATAATTCTTTAACCTAATCCTAAGACGGTAGTATTCTTATAAGCACCCTCAAGACCCAATGATTCCTTTGTCTTCGTTACTTGTGAGAAATAATTCACCATGAGAGATCATGTCAGACATATTTAAGACACAGCTATTTTATTAGAGTTTCTTCGCCTCTTTGAGAGCTACTCCTCTAGATATGATAAGAGGCGCATGAACAGGCAGCTTTCTTAATTCAGTCCGAAAATTTAGCCTTCCGTTCATTGGTGTAACCTTTCTAACGGTGACCTTGCGCTGTTGGATGACGATGTATGTACTGTGTACCACAACGACGGTAGTTCCAAATTTGACGGATTTATCCGGGGTCCTCTCTCAAATAAAATATGCTGTAGCGCATCGCCAGTAATAGCCTGTGCAGTTCGTTTCACTGTTTGAACAGATGTATCAAATTGCCTCTTTATTTGTGCCATTATTGCTTGAGTAAAGTGAAGTCGTCGATGGCAGATGTGGTTTATGTGAAATTACGATAAGGTTCAGGAAGTAAAAAGTGTGATGTTATTGTCCCTTTGCTGCTTTATGCTTAAAACCGGCAACAGCAAGACATTTTCAACTTCCATGAAGTCAACAGCGTTCACGTCATCAGCAGGCGGCAAGGAACAGATTTGAAGTATCGCAGTGAAGGCTGAACAAGGAGGGCGAGATTATTTGTAATCGTCATGGTAGCTGCTGCGGCTCGCGTGAACCCTGAAACGGTGTGCTAAAGAAATTGTAATAAACACATTATGGTTGTCATCCTAAGGCGTTCAAAGCTTATCTATCGATGAAAAATACACTTGGACTTTGAACCCAGTCAGACCCGACGGACGAACTGCGCCTGTATGTCCGCGTTTATTGCGAAGTAAACACACGATGAACCAGTATGCCCCTGTCCCTGTTCAAGCAGTGAGGCTGATCAGTTCAAAGCGGACATTTTTCAGTATTTAAGAGTGCTGAGGCATATGAAAGAGACAAATGGGACCTCGCCGCATATTTGTCTCTTGACTGCAGATTCAGCATTGATAGAACAATGCATTCTTGTCTGATGACATCAAGCTCGGCGTCGGCGCAGCAAAAATTCCATGAAAGGAAGGCCCTGCAAGTTAAGTTACTTATTCTGATGACCAGTCAGAAGTTTAGTTCTTATCCTGGGTGTTGTTTCATCGTGATGATATATCATAGTACACAGTAT